TACTCCATGCGAGCACGGAAAGCCATTGAGCTGGACGATATGTTCGGTACGATAGTCCGCCATGCGAGCACGAAGTGTCACGTAGCTGGACGATAGGTTTGGTGCGAAGGTACGCCATGCGAGCACAGAAAGCCGTGGAGCTGGACTGCCACGGCACAAATCGCCTGGTCTTCCACGGAGTCCACGTCGCTCTCATGCTCGCATGGCGTAGTCTCGTACCGAACCTATCGTCTAGCTCCATGGCTTTCCGTGCTCGCATGGCGTGTCTCGTACAGAACCTATCGTCCAGCTCCATGGCTTTCCGTGCTCGCATGGAGTACCTTTACACCGAATCTATCGTCCAGCTCCATGGCTTTCCGTGCTCGCATGGCGTAGCCTCGTACCGAACCCATCGTCCAGCTCCATGGCTTTCCGTGCGCGCATGGCGTACCTTCGAACTTAACCTATCGTCCAGCTCCATGGCTTTCCATGCTCGCATGGCGCACCTTCGCACCGAACCTATCGTCCAGCTCCATGGCTTTCCGTGCTCGCAGGGCGTACCTTCGTGCCGAAACTATCGTCCAGCTCCATGGCTTTCCGTGCTCGCATGGCGTACCTTCGCACCGAAACTATCGTCCAGCTCCATGGCTTTCCGTGCTTGCATGGAGTACCTTCGCACCGAATCTATCGTCCAGCTCCATGGCTTTCCGTGCTTGCATGGAGTACCTTCGCACCGAATCTATCGTCCAGCTCCATGGCTTTCCGTGCTCGCATGGCGTACCTTCGCACCGAACCTATCGTCCAGCTCCATGGCTTTCCGTGCTCGCATGGCGTAGTCTCGTACCGAACCTATCGTCCAGCTCCATGGCTTTCCGTGCGCGCATGGCGTAGTCTCACACCGAATCTATCGTCCAGCTCCATGGCTTTCCGTGCTCGCATGGCGTAGTCTCGTACCGAACCTATCGTCCAGCTCCATGGCTTTCCGTGCGCGCATGGCGTAGTCTCGTACCGAATCTATCGTCCAGCTCCATGGCTTTCCGTGCTTGCATGGAGTACCTTCGCACCGAACATATCGTCCAGCTCCATGGCTTTCCGTGCTCGCATGGCGTACCTTCGTACCGCCCCTATCGTCCAGCTCCATGGCTTCCATGGCTTTCCGTGCTCGCATGGCGTACCTTCGTACGGAATCTATCGTCCAGCTCCATGGCTTTCCGTACTCGCATGGCCTAGTCTCGTACAGAACCTATCGTCCAGCTCCATGGCATTCCGTGCTCGCATGGCGTAGTCTCGTACCGAACCTATCGTCCAGCTCCATGGCTTTCCGTGCTCGCATGGCGTAGTCTCGTTCCGAACCTATCGTCCAGCTCCATGGCTTCCATGGCTTTCCGTGCTCGCATGGCGTACCTTCGTACGGAATCTATCGTCCAGCTCCATGGCTTTCCGTACTCTCATGGCGTACCTTCGCGCCGAAACCATCGTTCGTACACCACACACTCAAGAATCCCGTAGAAGAAAATTGTCGGATGACGTTTGAGCCGGATTGACCCAATGCTTGTTTTTGTTTGTGATTTTTTACCTCCACGTCAACACGGAGAGCGATCAACATATGTGTTCCGCTGCTTATCGGATGATCGCAAACAGGGGGGCATCACCAGGTTAGTGAACTATCCAAGAGTGCAGATACGTTTGGATCGACGCAACTACCACGTGGAAGTGCAAACGCTACAGTCAGATTTCTCCTGGAAGATGCATTTTTCGCCACCTCTTTTCGGCTCGAAAGTTTACCTGTAGCAATAGATAACACCGTGAGCACTCATTTTGCGCCTCTTTACTTGAATTGTACCACTGTCGAGCAACAGCAAAAGTAATAACCGAACAAGAAGAAGATGAAGACGAAGACACAGATGTCGACGTGAGGGAGAGGCACCTCGCCATAGTCCAAAGGAAAAAAGGTTCTCATTCTCAAGGTGTGTATCTAGCTTGATCTTTTCTGGCCTTGGCGCTTTCGCTTTTTTGTTTTGCCGCCGCGATACCCATTGTTACCCGCGACAAAGATTTTGCAGACGCTCAAGAGACCTTCAGCGAGTTCTGATTGCGACCCAGGAGTTTCTGAACGATTTTGGACGACGATCTTCGTGCCGTGGTAGTTGTAGGAGATTCGAACAGGTCAAATTCGTACCGGCAGAGCCTATATATGTAGGACAACGATTTCTTGGACATTTCCCAGAAGGGCGCGTCCCAGAATGGTAGTTGCCATGGCAGGAGTGTCTGTGACCAGTGCGCATGTCGTGTAGGCGGCTGGTGTCATGCTGACATACGCCCGCAACATGTACCCTTCTTTTCACAACGCCTTGATTTGTGCGCCCACAGGATGCACTGGCGGAGAGACCGACAACATCGGACGGCTGCTTCACGAACTGGTCCACAACAATGAAATGTACGACAAGGAGATGTGCAAGGAACAGAAGGAACGGAACGAGGCACAGAGGGAACGGAACGAGATTCTGAGGGAGCAGAACAGGATGGAGGAGAAGCAGAAAGAGCACTCGTGGCAGCTGCTGGAGGGGAAGCGGGAACGGAACGAGATTTCGAGAAGGCAGGACAGGATGGAGGAGAAATTCGACGACCTTGAGCGCAATGTCAACTCCAACAACTCCGACAGGTTCGACAAGTTCAAGGATGAGAAGGGTTTGATATTCTACCCGTGCTTCCACCTATGGTTCGACGGCAGACCCGTACTTCCACCTGTGGTTCGACGGCAGCACGGGTAACAACGGCTTCTGCCCTGTCACTTTGACCGACTGCAACAAAAGGCGCCGGAAGCTCGTGGTTGTATCTGTACACTTTGTCGCGCGCTTCATGGTTGAGGTGTCTGCCACCCCCCAAGCCTACGAACAGACCAGAGACTCCCTGAACGGTTGCCTCAACAAGGTGACAGACATGGCCTACGAGGACGAGTTTAACGCGTACCTCCAGTCGGGGTATAGGATGTTGACCCGCGGAAAAAGCAAGGTCCTAAATCCAGAAGAGAACTCGCGGAGGCTGATCATCGTGGACGCCGCGGATTCCAAGGATCTCCTGACGATGATCGACGTCGTGTTTCCACAGCGCCCGCGTAGCCTCGGCGACATTGCCCACGGAGTCTTCCGATCGCCGAACTAAATTCCCGACGGCGTTTATTTCGGCTTCACGTCCGGCACCGGCAACGACACATCGACAGGTATAATCACCCAGCTCGGTGGGGAGCGCATATCTGCCGAGCGCAAGCGCATCCTGCCTGTGATGGGCGAACCGTGGGTGAAGGAGTGGTAAACTTCAGCTATCGGCGAGTTTTTCGACGTGCCGGCCGACATGCTGGGAGTTCGTTACGTCGTGTGCTCCGTCGTGGATACCGAGTCTCGGTTCGCCCAGGTCCTTTCGTACACAGTCGGCATTGAAAATTTCTTGAAGCATAAGAAGAAGCTAGACGACCGGAATGCAGCTAGGAAGAGGAAGCGGACGGAGAAGGAAGCCGAAAAAAAGGCAATGCAGGATGCAGCAGAAGCGAGGAAGAGAATCAGGAGGTCTTGAGTTTCAAAGGGATGTGGAAGAAATGACCAAAGGATACAACGGAGTAATACACTTGATGACACACGAGCTAGGAATGACAAGCCTTTTTGCAGGAATGTCACGGTACGAATGTTGATGCTGCCGGTGGCGAAGAAGGCAGTAATGCATATACTCTGTTTGTTGGTGTTTCGTTTGGTGGCGGCGCTGGAAAAACTGCTAGGATGCGACCTTCTTTTCACGCTACATAGCTAGAGGAGAGCAGGGGGGGCACGAAAACTGCTTCAAATATTCTCTAGCTTTGCACAGGACTCGGAATACTCTTTGGCTTTCGTTCGCGCCATCCCACAAGCTTTTCTGAAAGAAACTACCCCCTACACAGCCCTACGAGCAAAGTGTCCGCGGTAGCGTGTGCTATCTACCGTTACCCGGGGTGGTGAGTACATACAGCACTGGGCCCTCTCTTAGTGCAGGGGTGTGTTCAGAAATTTCACCTACACTATAGTGGGCACCTGCACTATTCAGAATAGTGCCTCAATAGCGCAGGTTCGGCACTATTGAGGTTTTGAACGTCCCTTAATAGTGCAGGTCCTGCACTATTGAGGAAATGTTTGATTTCATGGTGAGGCGCTCATGCTTTGCGGGGCTAACAGAGTACGAAATGGATCGAAATACAGCAGGGCTGGGCCCTGTTTTAGCGTGGGTATGGACAGGCTGTCGCGCGAGTGTGGTTGCCCCCTTCGCGCACACCGAGTTACTTTGCAAGTTGCACCATAAGTGTCTTCCTGCCTCAGCACTCGTAGTGTACATAGCACACCCTGAACTGTTGCACGATCTAACATTAAAGCGCAGTGGTCGAAGCTAAATCTCAGTCCTTCTCCCTGCCCTCGTTGCATGTTGCAAGATAAAACAAGTACTGTAGACAAGACAAAACAAAAAAGAAAAAGAAACACACCAGGACCCGCACTGTAAGGAAAGTAACGACCACTTGTACGTTAGGTCGTGAGTTCGAATCTCCATGGGGTGAAAAATTTACGAAATTTGCTGGTGAAAGCGAAATATAGCTCAAAAGCTCTCGTGAGTACCAAACTTCGACGTTAGCACCGTTGACGAGGGAAGGGGACGGCTGGACCCTTCTCGCGATAAAAATAAAATTCAGCACGCACCGCAGGAGGAAGGTGGGGCATGAAACGAAATAAATTATAACATGGCTGCCCGGCGCACCCACTTCGATGTTGTACGAAAAAAATAAAGACACACGCCAAGACAAGCCGACAGGAAGCGCTCAAAAAAAAAAAAAAACTTCACTACGTCGTGACAAACTCTTTCATGTCTGCCTGGCGCACCCGCTTAGCGGAATGCGCCGCTATTATCGCCATCTTCGCTTTCGTTAGGTAGAACACCGTGTCTCCGTTGCCACTCTCGTCTGCTGCCGCTTCCAGGACACCGAAGTGAGGCGCAAGTTCGCCATATGCCGGTGGGGCACGGCGCTCGAGCCCCGTGTTATCATCGCCACTGCCCTGTTGTTCGTCCTCCTCCTCGTCGTCGTCCTCCTCGCCAGTAGACAAGCGCGCTTCTGCCAGCAGCGCCGTCATTCCGTCCAACGCGTTCCTTCGAAGAGCCTCTACCACCTCATCGTAGTCCTCGATGGTAGCCCACCCCTGAATCATGTCCGCCGTTTCCTCCCTGACCGGCTTTCCGGGTTCGATGTTGAGCTCTGCGAGCAGTTCGCTGATCTCCTCGTCTCGGATGGGGGATCCCTGCTGCTGTGCGTTGTGCACGATCGTGCTCAACGTGTTTACAGTCCCCGTGAGAGCTTTCAAGTCAGGCTCGGCGACGTGGCGCTGGTTCTTTCCGTGTTGCTTGGTGAGCTCAGCCGCCATCTCGAAAGGAAGCGTCTCGACTTTGACAAAGCACCTGTTCCACGGAAAATAGCACAGAAAATGTGATGCATCCGTTTTAGGCGAACAGTTAGTCATACCATACGAGAGAGGACCCTGTTTTGGAAAGACACGTCCGCATGCTGGAATTCTCAGCCGAAAAATAGAAAACCTATGTATGTATTCGTACAACCTTACACACACACGCAGCGTGCGGCCAAAGCCATATCTTCTTGCTCAAGCTGAACATTTTCAACAGAGATGAAAGCACATGTGCAAAACTCACCTAGCAATGTCCTGGGCGGTGACGCTGGCCCATGCTCTCGTGAGAAGTTCAGCGGCGTCTCGCAGGTGAGGTCGGTACCCTTGCGCCAGCCCCATTGTCTCGGCCTTCATCTTGCGGGCCTTGGCCTCGGCACGAAGTGTGTCAGCCACCAACATGGTTGATGTCTTCGCATCGAGCAGCTCCTTCCTGTAGATGACCTTCGTCTTGGCAATGATCCCCAGATCCATGGGCTGGTGTACCGAGGTGCACAGCGGACATCTACTTCATGGTCACTTGCCTCCGATCATCCACTAGATCACCGTGAGACGAACAGCCGTCCATCAGCAGCAGCACAGGTTCGTGAGTGAAGCGCCGAACGAACGGGAGGAAGACTTCAAGTCACCTCTTGAGGAACGTCGCGGAGTCGGACCACGCGTTGGTCTGCGCGAAGTTCTTCACAGGGCAAGCCACGTTCTTCAAGCAGCGGGGTTCCTTTGCCCTCCCGATGATGGCCACGTCAACCTTCGCTATGCCGTCGGCATTGCAACACATGATGGCAGATAGTCGATCCTTGAAGTACATGCTCTTGGAGCCCCGCGCCGTCATCCGATCCTCTTTCGAGGAGAGTTACGTGCGCCTGGGCATGAGCTTCCACTGGAGGCCTGTCTTGTCGACGTTGAAGATGAACCTAGCTGGGTACTTCGCGCAAAGGGCCCTGATTTCGTCCATGCCCTCCTTGATGGCCGCGCTGTCGACGCTACCAGCCTCGCCATGAAGTCTCACGCTCTGGATTTTGTTGCGCTTCACGAACTTCTTTGCCCACTTCTCGCCGGCCTTGAAGTCCTCGACCCTCGCCCTCACCGCTTCAGAAGTCGCAGGGTCAGCCAGCAGGGTTACCCTGGCGGAACGGCCAAAGCTTCGAAAGACATCGCGTGTGACGGGAATCTTGGCCTGCCGGGCTTTCTCGAGCAGATCAAGAGATATCTTATCCACCTGACGCCGAAAACGAGTGTAGAACAACAACATCAATGCAGCGAGTGCAAAAAATTGAACCATTAGTTTCGAACGATAGCACAGCATACATCCTACACTGCGCGGCGGGGTCAGGCGGGAACGAAAAAAAAAAGGTGACGTGAATTACACTTGAAAAAAAAATGCGGGCAAGAAGAGACAAGCGCTGCAGATGTATACATGGGTGGTTCCAGATTGAAAAAGAGGGTGTGTGACATCGGAGATAAAAGAAGCAAGACGAGAAAAAAAGGAGAGAAAAAAGTCAACAATAACAAGGAAAGGACGGCGAAAAAAAAACAAAAGGAACAAAGGAAAGGTGAAAGCGCAGACAAAGAAATCAAAACGAGAGACAAAAAAGGTGAGGACAAAGGCAACAAAAACAAGGAAAGAACGACGGGGAAAAAGAAAAGAGAAAGACAAAAACAACGAGAAAGACAGAAAGACCGAAAAAAAAGGAACGCTGCAAAAAAAAAAAAGAGCGATCAAAGACAACAAGGCTCGAAAAAAAAAGGCCGCAAAAAAACAGGCGGGGAAAAAAAAGGTCACATTTAGCAAGGCAGTGTATGTAACGCACCTCCGGAAAGTCTCCTTTGCGTGCATTTTTCTGGCAACCGTTGCCTGCAGCTGCCGCCGCCTCGATCGCCTTCCGGTCAGACCTCACCGTCGCAAGAAACCGAACCGAGCACGAGAAGCGGTCTGCAACCTGCACGTAGGAGACCTTGGCATCCATCGCCTTCAGCATTTCAAGCTTCTTGTTGTCCGGCCCCGCACGAGAACCAGAACCCTTCTTACTCCCCCCCTTCGTCTTCTTCGGGTNCCTGCACGTAGGAGACCTTGGCATCCATCGCCTTCAGCATTTCAAGCTTCTTGTTGTCCGGCCCCGCACGAGAACCAGAACCCTTCTTACTCCCCCCCTTCGTCTTCTTCGGGTGTTTAGAGGATCCCGCCCCAGCACCATCAGCTGGTGCCGCTTTGCGCTTGCCAGGCTTGGCGACGCACTTGCTGTAGATGCGGTGCATTTCGTTGTCCTCAAACATGCTGCCACAATTGCCGTGGAGCCGGCCGCCACACCCTCCCTTGCAGACGTGGCCATGAGGGGCTGGCGGCGTTGTGTCTTGCTGATAACACAGTTCACCGTCCGCACAAGGTATGGTGCGCCTCTGCGTAAAGCTCTTAGGGTCTGCAGCAGCACGTGTATCCGCGTTTTCTGTGTTCCGTCTGTCCGCGTGTGTGTTTGTGTGTGTTTTATTATTAGCATCGACCGGGCTAACCGGCTGACCAATTAAAAGACGTCAGTGCCAGCGGGTAAAAATCAAGGTCCCTGGAAGGAGGCCAATCTTCGAAAAATGCGCAATGCGCTTGATGCGAATGCCAATACGACTCTCTCGACATGTTTTTCACGAAGACACACATCTCAGCTACACAAATGCCCTCGCTCGAACCTAGGAAGCCACTGATGCAAAGAGCGGAGGACAGCAAAAGGGTTATTTCAAGCCCAGCCGAAGCCAGGATATCGTGGTATGCTGCATCTCCCAATTTGATGATCGTACACTCCCAATATCCAACAGTCATCGTGTCAGCAGCTAGACGACTCGAACAAAATAGCAATACATGCACTGCCATAGCTCCACACATGCCCTCGCCTGAACCTAGGAAGCCACTGANTGCTGTAGTAGACTAGACTACTGCTGCGTAGTAGTAGCAGGAAATCCAGGTTGTACCCATCCGTTGTCCAAAGATTTGTGATTCCGTGAGAGGAGATACCACCGCCGTCGAAGGGTCTTACGCACTGTCTGCCAGATGTAGGCTGTGAGATGGATGGAGCCACCTATATGTTCTTAGCCTGCCCGCCCGTGAGGGTCGTTGTTTGTGTGTGTGTGTGTCCAACCTGCACTATTGCGGGGCACCGCGGTGCCCAACCTGCTCCATAGCGGGACCTCCCTCAATAGTGCAGAACCTGCACTATAGAGGGCGCTGTCTGTGTCCAGAGATTTTGCCTGCACTATACCGGGCACCTGCACTATTCAACCTGCACTATAGAGGGACCAGTACTGTACATGGTTAGAGGAGAGCAGGGGGAGCACTAAAACTGCTTCTAAAATTCTCTACAATTGCACAGGGCTCGGAATACTCCCTGGCTTTCGTTTGCACTATTCCACAAGCTTTTCCAACCTGATTTGCCCTCTGTATAGTTCTACGAGCACAGGGTACATGGAGACACGGCGGTAACCTCCATATTCTTGTTATTTTTAGCTCTATATTCAATGCATTACCACTTTTTTTAGAATTTTCTCTCAACCTCCACCAGACAAACCAAGTTTCGTCATCAAGAGACGATTCATCCGATACCCTGGTCACAACTGTATCGTGCGTACTCGCCGAGATTCTGCGGGACCAGTGCGAGCTATTTGGAGCCAAGTCAGGGTAATTTGTCCACAGGAAATCAGGCAGTGTTGGTGGCGAAAATGCGTACTACAACGTATATTTCTCGGGGGTGAGGAAACGTACGCCAATCCCTTCGTCAACGTTGCCAATGGGTGTCCTGAGCACGTCTGTGAAAAAAAAACGGGCAAAAATCAGATCTTGTGTTCCCCAGGGGTCGAAAAGCACCGGAAAGCGGGGCTACCAAAGCCATGCCAAGACCGGACCCGAAATCACGTTTCGTGTGGTTTTAGGCCGGACGCTTCGAATATAGAGAATTTCAAGGGGAGCTCTGCACAGTATAGATGTCAACAATGCGTCACTCGTGACGCCCTGCACTTCAAGCGAGTCCTGTTCAGCGTACTTAATGTGGAGGATTGGAACAGGGGTGGTGTCATCTTACGTACATTAAGTCCGGCACAGCAGTTTTTGCCCTCGGAGGGGGTAAACATTGAGTTTGACTAAAACACTCAAACACTGGCCACGAAAAGCAGAGGACAGTCCAAGATCATGAATACAAGGGTCTTCGTCCATCGCTACCGGCTCGATCCGAGCTCTACAGACCTAGACGTGGGATGGAGATGGTAGCGAGCAGCGCGGCGGCAGGGAATCCGAGCATAAACACATCCCTTGAGCATTTTTGCTCGAGGCCATGTATGTCCGCTCTCCAATTTTTGAGGAATCACCCGCACAGCTGTTCAGCACCGCCCCTTCCTGCCCGCTTCGCTCTCCTTGTCCTCAGTTCGCTGCGCTGACGGATGCTCGTTTTTCACCGACGACGTGACGTTTCATGACCCTTGGTGACTCACAGTCCAGTGTTCCAGTGTTGGTGGAAACACTTTGTAGCCGAAAATGTTGACGACGCCATATGCTTGTATGAGTGGGACGCCAACAACAGACGGCTCTGTGACAGCGGTGGCGTCAAGGAGGATAACCGACCTAGCTGCAAGTGCATGTGCGACCGGGGTGCGTGTGTCTATGCGTTGGTCAAGGCGTTGAGGGCAGAAGGCGCCAAACAGACTTGTGACATCTGTCTGAAGTCACTTCAAGGACCTCAAGTATTTAGGTGGTTGAAAGCCGGGCCGTGGGTCGGTATTTTCACTTCACATGTCAGGTCGGCGACGAGTTCGATTGCTACCTTTCGAAGTTCCAGCACCGAGTTGCGTGTTGACAGCGACCTCTGCAATCGATGTTACATGGAAGGCTACCATCACAAGGACGACATTCCAATCGTAGAGAAGAAGACCGTCAGGGAATTTATCAGACAATTGGAGAACGAGACGCCTCACGTGACAAACGCACCTCAACACGCGGAAGGCATCGCGATGCTGGAGTTGCTACGCTCTTTGGAATGTGGGAAGCTGGTGTCGAGGGAGGATGCCATGACCGCCCTGGGAACGGCACGCCGTGACGTTGATCTGAAGGAGACTCTCACTAAGGGAGGCGTACAGTACCTCCGGAAAGAGTCGGTGAAGAGTACACCGCCTATCGTCACGAGGAGCTCGAACACAATGGGGGCATGGAGCCCAATGCCAGAAATACATGGACGTTAACAAGCCGAGGAACAGCCAGCGGCTGTGGACGGGACTGGGTGGCTGAAAGACGAGTATGAACAATGACGCCCATTCACTGTTGACGGTGCTGCACTGCACTCAACCCTTGAGCCAACTTTAGACTTTACCGACCAAATAATACAAATCTGTGACGTGCCTGCCGTGTGACCCCGGCACATAAGTCAACAATATGAGTGTACACTTGGTGTTGTTCTCTTCATCTTAAAAAAAAAAAAACGTTAAGGTCTCCGCTCAGCACCCTCTATTGTTCGTACTGGTCCATCTGACGCGGACGCCTTCCGTGGTCACAGGCTACCAACCCCAAGAAAGGGGTACACCTTTCTTTCTAGAAATCAATCAACGGAACCAAAATTTGAACAAGAAACAATCATTCAACACGCGAATTTTGTGATAGCATCGTATCCCGAAGAAAATAAATGGGATACGATCGAACACGGTCAAAAAGGGATTAGGAGCAAGATGAATAAGGAAAAAGAGACAAGGGCAACAACAAAAAGGAAACATCGGAAATGGGACGAACATGCGCACATTCACGAGGTAAAAAGTATCGAATAACGCCCGAAGGGACCCTGCAACACAAGTGTGAACGGGTACACACGGCAATTGTACCTCTGATTCTTACTGCAGAGCCCTTAGCATTCGTGCTGAGGCCTCTTGTCTTCGAAAAAAACAATAGCCCAACCCCGTGCCGAAATAAAAAAAAAGAAAAAAAAACGGGTGGACGGGGGCGCAACATACGTTATTCCGTAAAATCAACGGGACACTCTCGGCACGCTAACCCCCATCAGACCTATCGACGTGTGGACTTGGAGAATTAAAACACAAAAACCCCGTGAAGAGCAAACAAAAAAACAATGGGGGGAGGGGGAGGCGCGAACAATGTTATCCCATAAAATACATGAGCACGCTCGGTACACTACCCCCCAACAGACCTGTCGACTTGTGGACATGTGATACGCACGACGGATCATCGTCCACTCTGCAGCCTATTCGTATTTCCTATCACCGCATGTTGTCACGACGTGGAGAAATTAATAGCCTGCTTCCGTGGTGTGTTTGCACTTGCACCAATGTGCCAAATTACCCAAGCCTCCGTCAAATGGTACGTCCTACCGCGGTAAACCGCACGGGGCAGAACCACAATCGCGCTGGGTGAGTTCGCTTTCAGCCATTCACCACGCGTTTTAGTTGGTTCCAGGAAAGACAGTCTCAGCTTGAGGGCTACACCTGCACGTGCCACCCGCAACGCTTGCACCTAAATACAGAATGCATGACGGTAGGGTGGACTCGTGACGACCCACGCCGGCCGCACCGCCTTCTCCGGGAACACCTCGCGGAAGGCATCTGACCCAGCGTCGAGATGGGAATCGGCCCGCAGCCTGCATATGAACGATGCACCAGAGCACGGATAGTAGGGCGTGCGGAGTTCGATTTCTAGGTACAGGTCGAGAAACCAAGGCACGCAATCGCATGCTGTTTTGGCGTCAGACTCCACGGCTACTACGTCTTGTGTGCATGTGTTAATAATTCAAAAGACTGTCCTTCCGCGTGCTGGTCATCCTGGCCACTTCGCGCACGGGACCGCACGATCTCTTGCTGCGCCCAAAAGACTACTGGCAAACTTCCTCCTCTACCGGGAATCAGAGACAGCATTGACTCAGCTAGCGGATCAGCACTGTAGGATACCGCATACCGCTGCGGCTTTACTTTACCGGCTTGCCAAAAAAATATAAATCATAACCACCAGCCAACTCACGCAGCATTCAAGTCGTTCGTCATGACACGCAAGCCATGATTTCCCAGCACCCTGCTCACAGCGTCGCCCCTTGCCCCGCAAGCATCCAGAACGCTGCCTTCGACGCCAACATGCTCGAGAAGGTGTCGAACCTGCAATATTTGCGTTCCGAGAGCAGGGTGGTGGTAAGAAGCTGGTAGTTAATGGGAAAGCCTTGTCCTCACAGTACCTGCTAATATCCGTGTAGGTCCAACCGACGCGGACGCCTTCCTCGCTCACACACCAAGTACCACCAACCTACAAAAGCTTGCGTGTTGATGTACATAGCCCGTTGAAAAACTTCCGCCACCACAAAAAACGAATGCTGCTGTGTCTCGTCGGGCATGTCAGCTCATAGACTTAGGGACGTCTACATATATATGCCAGCCTTCACGTGCCATCAGTTCCGTCGTAGGTACATTCGACACTATATCGTCGTCGAGGGGCACGTGTTGCAAGTCTTGGAGACAAGGTGGGGAGAATGCCTGGCGGATACAAGTTTGCGTTGCTGAGTGCGGTGGGTGTGCATGCATGTGTGTGATTCCTGCAGTGCGGTGACTCTGCTGCTGTTGCTGGGTGCGCGTTAGGAATACGACGGCACGGGATAACGCTGAAACGATTTACGTCCACACTACCGGAAGCAATCGCATGGCAAGCACCATACACCATACATAGTTGAGCATTTAGGTCTGGTCTGACTAACATACGGGAGCCACACCCGTCGCACCGAAGTGCGTGATTGACGTACCTGCAATTTTGCGGGACGATTCTCCCGCAAGAAAACCAGAACGACAACAACACAACGAGGTGATGTGAAGACAACAACAACACCTAGAGGGGGTT